CTTCTGCATGCAAAGCAGGTGCTCTACCACTGAGCTGTGGCTCTTCCCCAACCACACCTGCTGGCCTCATTCCCACCATCCTGCATCCATCAGAACATGTGCAGGGCAGGGGACACACTCTGCAGCACAGAGGTTCTAGCCAATTTTCATAACTTCAAATTCAAATATCCCCAAATTAAAACAAGTATGCACTTTCGGGGGGGGGACTTATAATAACCAATATTATGTTAATTTTTATGATGAACAACTTTGTTTCATTAATTTTTCTATTACAGCTATGGATTGTAAGAAAGTTGTACCCAGCAGCCATTTCCCCCCCAAGATATCCAAAAAATGTAACATTTTTGTTACAAGGAATAAAAACCCCATAAATTTCATTCTTTGTCGAGAAAGAGCATGTTTTTGCAATAATTTCCAACATCAAAACTTTGGATTCCATCATACCCGTATGCTGAAAATTGAGGTTTTCTAAACCTAGATTTCCACCAAAAAGTACATTTATATATTTTTTTAGGCATTTATAAAATCTTTTGAGTGCTGGTGTAATTTTTCCTGAAATTCTCATCCTCTTATTGAGCTCTGTGTAAAATTTCAAAGAGATCTGATCATTGGTTATGGAGAAAAAGAATAAAATGTACATGTGCCGAGGGTCTCAAGACGGACAGGCGACGCAGATTTCATGAAATTTTGAAGTACTATAAAATTAAAACCGTTTGAGATAGAGGGAAAAAAATTAAGGGGGTTTCTTGCAACCATAAGGGAAGGGTGTGCACCAAGTTTCATCAAAAGCTGAGATGTTGGGTGACGAAACCCTTGTTTTTTGCATTGATTTGATGTGGAATGACCGGATAATGTGATCTCCCAAATATACCAGTTTTGCAGTCCCTCACATTCGGAGTCTACATGCAATGTGTCTTACTTTTTTGACCATCAGTGCACAAGTTCCAATCGGCATGAAAGTGGGAGGAAAGGGTGAATTATTTGAAAAGCAATTGTAATCAACAGATTACCCTGGTAGGATTGCAAGAAGTTTTGTAAGGAGGACTATGCGAAATATTGCAGAGGAAAGTATGAAGAGAATTATTAGTGAAGGACTATTAAAAGTAATAGTGAAATTAATGAAATGCAGATTAAGTGATAAAGACTGAAAAATCTTCAGATGTGGTTGATGGAAGTCCAAAATATTGTATAAGATAAGAAAATATGTTATATGATTTGTGGAAATTTTATGTAAAAATCAACACACACACACACACACACACACACACACACAGACAGAAAGAATAGAAAGAAAGTGGGAGGAAAGGATAGGAGACGCCATTTTGTGCATTCACATCTATGCTGTTTAATAATCCACACAGGGATATTGCAAACAATTTTTGGTCAATGGTTGTGCTTTGGCTGAGAGAGGCACCCGCTGGCTGCTCAACTAACAGCAGAATCCAACCCTTCCCATATGTATCAAGTTGTCTGCCAAGGGACGACAGGGATTCCCCACAGGGTTCAGCGCAGCCCTCTGACTTTGCACAATGCCAAGCCATGACTGAGAACAGGGGAGTCTGTCGATGCTCACATGGTGCAATCTGGAAGATCTATTCCACATAGGGCCCAGATGTACAGTGGCTGATACTCTGAGCGCAAGTAGCCTGCATGCGTCACTGTGGGAAAGAGCCGAACCACTAAATTTCACCACATGAGAGGTAACGGGCTTCCCCATGCAAACAAAGCCTTCACATATATATATATATATATATATATATATATATATATATATATAAAATTCCCTCAACAGTTCTTAGAATCACAGCTTTGCAGAGTTGGAAGGGACCATGAGGGTCATCTAGTCCAACAGCCCTGAAATGCAGGAACCTTTTACCCAACTTGGGGCTCAAACCCACGACCCTGAGATTAAGAGTCTCCTGCTATCCTCCGAATGAGCAATTGCAGATGGGGAGTTAAAAGGTCTCTATCAGGCTATATGGAGAATCGCCTTTGTGGATGCATTGCCCTTTCTTGAAACCATCAGTGGTTGCGGCCTCCTTATAGATCTGCTAGGGATTGAGGAGAAATTTACTCAGTCTGCATCTTAAAGTGAACTGGCCGGATTCTCTAGTCTTGCAATGATACGTGAATTAGAATGAAGCTGTCAATTGAATTACACACTTCTATGAATTCACCGGACAGTTTCATCTGGGAGGGAGAGTGTGTGTGTGTTTGTGTGGAGTACACAAAATGCACATTTTATGCGAAGTTACGTTAAAAATGCGTATTAAGGAAAATGTATTAAAAGCATACAATGCACTGAAAACTGTACAGTGGTACCTCTAGTTACAGATGCTTCAGGTTACAGACGCCTCAGGTTACAGACTCCGCTAACCCAGAAATAGTACCTCGGGTTAAAAACTTTGCTTCAGGATGAGAACAGAAATGGTGCGGCAGCAGCGGGAGGCCCCATTAGCTAAAGTGGTGCTTCAGGTTAAGAACAGTTTCAGGTTAAGAACGGACCTCCAGAACGAATTAAGTTCTTAACCCGAGGTACCACTGTACTTTAAGGGGAGAATTCATACAAAATGCATACTTTAGGGGGAAGTGTGTGTCATTTAAAAGTGATTCCCACCTTATTTATTTTTTTAACCCACAAGAAATGGGATTGCAAAACTGACAAGGAATGGAAATGGGCGGATTGCCCCTAGCATGACCACCTCCTCACCCATGAGAAAAGCGTGGAACACATTATCATTGCTTCCAGGACTCCCTAAATGTAAACCACCAAGAATGGAGATGGGCACTCCTAAGGAGAATTTATGAGTGATGACCAACCGCTTCCTGCAAGGAGGAATAAATATCCGTGCCAATTGGTTTTGCTTTCCCCCAAGACTGTCCACTAACCCTTCTCTGTTTACACACGCAGAGATACCATCAATGGGCTAATGAAACTTCACATAAATACCAGACAAAAAGGTAATGTCTTTCATGCATTGTTTTCAGCCTGAGAAACGTTCACTGCCCGTCTGCATAAAGAATATCCTTCCCTTCCCACCTCCCCCTGAATTCTAACAGAACGTAAGCTGCCCTTCCTTTTGTTTATTTGTTTTTCCACTTTTTAATTTAATAACGCTGTATTAGATTACGGTTGTGACGAAAAACACACTTAGTGGCGAGCAAGAGGGCATGTGCAGGGATAGCTAGAAACCCAAGTGAGACTCTCAAGTACGTTTCTGAGAGCTGGGCGGCCTGTCAGCCATGTGAAGACAGCTTGATAGCTGAAACACCATGGAGCAGGAATCAATCACGCAATGTGTTTCCCACTTTCAAATCTGAGACGTGTGTCCGTGCTGTGCGTCAGGCAAGCAACATTGTCACCGCCAGCCCCCGACGCGAAGAACTACCCTGGCCCACAGTTCAAAACCCCCGAACCAGGAAAGGCATCCTACACACACCCCTCCATAACTAGAATTCACAAGCAGATAAGACTTATCAGCATTCCCCAAGTGGCATTTTTCCCTTGTTTAATGTTTCTCATATAAATGGGTGTGAAGAAATCTTTCCCGATGCCAACAAGTCCTTAAAACTTGAGTTCACTGTGTCAATAGATCTCTAACCCTCCTCCCTCTTGGAAACCATTCCGGTAAGTTGCAGTATTTCTTCAAAGGCTAAAACATATCACAACTGTTTAGGGAAATAGAAGCATTTCTGAACTCTGGAGAATGAAAGGCCCAGGCAGCTGAAGCTTTTACACTGCCTACTGAACACCACCCCAGGTGAAGGCTGGGCTGAATATCCTGCCCCACTTTTGTAGGACCGTTCATCCCTTGAGAAAAAAAAAGGGGGGGGGATCATCAGCATTTAAAGTTGTGGCGGCTGGATATTTCTCTTTCAATTTCTTTTTAAAACCTTTCTTCAAAGTGGGACTTAACTTCAAGCGGGATGGATCTCTGGAGAGTGTACTCAAAGAACTTCAGAGAACGTAGCCTTATCTTTAAAGGTGAGGTGTCGAGGGTTTTCTTTACTTTCTTTCCTTACAGAAAAAATTACATTGCAACTTCTTTGTGCAGCACCTTGGATGCTGTTAGTTGCTGGTGGCATTCCTGGGAGGGAAAGCCTCAATGGGACTGATCCTAGGTCATGACGCAGTGCATTTCAAAGGGGCGTTCACAGGGACTAAAGATAACTGCTATGGTTCTCCCTCTCTTTTTATCCTTGCAACAAGCCTAGGACCCTCATACCTACGGGACCACCTCTTCTGGTATGCCCCACAGAGGATCTTAAGGTTCATAAATAGCAACACCCTAGAGGTCCCGGGCCCTAAGGAAGTCAGATTGGCTTCAACCAGAGCCAGGGCCTTTTCAACACTGGCTCCGGCCTGGTGGAACGCTCTGCCTCATGAGACCAGGCCCCTGCAGGATCTGATTTCTTTCCGCAGGGCCTGTAAGACACAGTTGTTCCGCCTGGCCTTTGGCTTGGAATCAACTTGATCCCCTCCCCTCTTTCCTTTCTCCTTCTGTGATGGAACTCCTATTTGGGGACTTCCCTGGCTTTTTTTCTGGCCCACGTAGGACCAGTCTGGATAGTTGGCCTTGGTGAAGATTTGACATTTTCATCCCCAAAAAAGTTTTTGATTTGAGTTTCTACTGAAAAGAGGCTGCATTTTAATGTTGTACTTTAATCTTGTTTTTAAGTTGTATTTTAATCAATTGTTTTTATACCTGGTGTTAGCCGCCCTGAGCCCAGTTTTGGCTGGGGAGGGCAGGGTATAAATAATAATTATTATTATTATTATGAAGTAGGTTTGGCTCTGTATGTGCAGCTGGCCCGAGGTCACCCAGTGAGTTTCACAGCTGAGCGGGGATACAAAGAAGCGTCTTCCCAGCTATAGTCCAACCCTAACATAGGAACATAGGAAGGGACCTTATGATGTGTCAGACCATTGGTCCACCTCTGCATTGCCTACCCTGGCTGGCAGCAGCTCTCCAGGAATTCAGGTAGGGAGTCTCTCCCAACCTAACCAGAGTTTCCAGGGATTGAACCTGTGACTTTCTGCTTGCAAGGCAGACAATCCACCACTGAGCTATGGCCGTTGGCTTCTAACCACTACACCAGGGATAACCAACATGGCAGCCTTCAGGTGTTACTGGACAACAGCTCCGAACCAGCATGGCCAATGTTCAGGGAAAAGGAGGACCGTAGTCTAGCAACATCACATTGGCAACCCCTGCCTCACACCGTGCTGGCAATACTTTGCATGTACCTACCAGGCAAGCCATCAAACAATCAATGCAGTCGGTCAGCAGGAAAGTAAGTGTGGCCAAGCAGTCAAGGGCACCCCAGCCTGTACCTTAGTAGCAAATTGCTCAGGCAGTGGAGCCAAGCCTTGCTCAGAAGTGGGCAGGACCCTATTGGCTCCTCCGCACACCTGACCCCTGCTGAGCTGTAACTGCAATTCCACCATCTGGCCATGTGTAGTGGTGGCGCTGAAGCACAACGATCCAGCTGTTTCTTCCTTTGGCAAGCAATCACAGGGGATAAGGCACCCAGCTCAGATGGCCAAAGTCCCCGTTGGAAAAGTTGGTGTCAGGCTCGACTAATATGCTTCTACGTTACAACCCTTCCAAAACACGGAATTTTGCTAAATGAATGCCACCGTCAAAAGGGAGATTTACTATAGCCAAACAAATACATTGTGCCCTTGGCACGTCTTGCGAGAAGCAATTTGATTCAAGATTATGGGGTTGGGGGCGGTATGAAATTCTTTCCCAGCCGGCATAAAAAAAACTGTGATTACTTAACTCTATTTAAACAGGATGCTCAAGCAGTTTGTTTAAAATTACTGAAAACTGCAGCGACTATCCCACCCATTAGGGCTTGAATAAACACTTCCTGCTTCTGATTGAAATTGCACAGACACACTAGACTTAGTACACAATATTAAATGCAAACCTAGAGAAAAAGCTGAACAACAACAACGCTAATGTTCCAGACTGCTTCGTCTCCATCTTGGGAGAAGGCCATCAATGAAGACTACGCGGAGATGCACAAATGGCAAATAATAATAAATAAATAAAATGAAATTGGTATTCAGGTTTACATACACAGACATTCCATTGAAGTGATACACAACGCTTACTGTATTTTTGTAAGCTATGCTCTAAAAATAACGTAATCACTCAAAATTCACATTTTACCACTATTATCCCCACATGGTAGATGAGGGTAGGCAGAACTGAATGAAAGTTAAGTTGTGTTGACAAGAAGCTGCCCAGAGTGGTTGGGGAACCCTGTCAGATGGGTAGGGTATAAATATTATTATTAGTAGTAGTGGTAGTAGTTGTTTAGTCATTTAGTCGTGTCCGACTCTTTGTGACCCCATGGACCAGAGCACGCCAGGCACTCTTGTCTTCCACTGCCTCCCGCAGTTTGGTCAGACTCATGCTGGTAGCTTCGAGAACACTGTCCAACCATCTCGTCCTCTGTCGTCCCCTTCTCCTTGTGCCCTTCATCTTTCCCAACATCAGGGTCTTTTCCAGGGAGTCTTCCCTTCTCATGAGGTGACCAAAGTATTGGAGCCTCAGCTTCACGATCTATCCTTCCAGTGAGCACCCAGGGCTGATTTCCTTCAGAATGGATAGGTTTGATCTTCTTGCAGTCCATGGGACTCTCAAGAGTCTCCTCCAGCCCCATAATTCAAAAGCATCAATTCTTTGGCGATCAGCCTTCTTGATGGTCCAGCTCTCATTTCCATACATCAGTAGTAGTAGTAGTAGTAGTAGTAGTAGTAGTAGTATGCTTTCCTAAGGATTCAGCTACATGTGGCCAGTTTTAAGGGATGTTGCTTAAAGCTCTGAACCCTTTATTCCAGCTGTACTTTCCCACATGGGTGGAAGAGGAGGAGAACTGAATACTCTAGCCTGGCTGTACTGAAATCTTATTTAAAGCTGTGAATTACTTCTGGTCATGGAGACCCACCGAGAGAGAGAGAGAGAGAGAGAGAGAGAGAGAGAGAGAGAGAAATGGATAAAAAAAACCTGAGGGAAACATCTAGATGGAAGAGGATGCAACACACCACTAGCCCAAACACACACACTCAACACTCCTTATAGGTAATCAGTAGTAGATTGGATTCTGCATATAGATTTGTCGAAGTATTGGAGGGAAGGAGTGGTGGGTGGTGAAAGGGTTAAGTACACTTGCTACTTCTCTACTACAACTCTCCCACCCCAGTGCTGCTTTTCTCGAGTGACAGGCTTATGCTAGGGCTTGTGGCTTCCTCTTACACACGTGTAGTTCTAGGCCCTGTGAACAAAACTGCCAGTGTGCAGATACTTGCTAGCAAAAGCAGGAAATGAACCCCCTCTCCTGAGCACGTGAAGTGTTTCAGCGAAGTTCCCATGTACTTATATGAAAAGGTCAGCCAGTGACAACAGTAGGCTCCAGCTTCACAACGCAGCAGGAGACTTCTAAAAGCCCTGTGATCATCTTGAATGGAAAATGTACAAAAAAATACTGTTGGGTCGCAAACTCTGCCCCGGGTCTAAGAAAGAGCTTATTTGCACAATTAATTTGGACACAGTGTTCCGAATAGCATGAAATCCGTTCAATTTCCATAAAGCCAGATTTCTTTGTGACTGGTCAGATAAATCCCGCTGGGATGGAAAGTTAGCAGGAAAGAAATGGTTGGAATGTACTAAGGCGGAAATCTCATGCAAGTTGCCCTACTCCTGAGTAATAAGCAAGGCAGCGGTGGGCAACCTTCAGCCTTTGGTTTAAATTTCATAGAAGATAAAGGGGGGCATAGAGAGATAAAAGTGGGCATCCACTGACTTTCGGCTTTGGACCTGCCCACTTTGGTTTAGGCTCCACCCACCATGGATTCTGGCTTCTCCTACCACCAGTATGCAGCCCTTACAGACTACCCCAAGGGAATGAAGCACTTTTCTAACAGTTACTAATGACATGAAGCTTATTCAGGAAAATTTACTATCGTATAATAGATTTAAATATCCTTATACCTCTGCCCAGGTCTCGAAAAATCATTGCTTTTATTTAATTTTTCTATTTTTTTAAAATACTTTTTATGCTATTTCATCTATTTCATTTCTCTCTCTTTTAAAAAGTTTAGCACAACCATTATGCACTCTTATTAGTCTTGGTGGTTCAGTAGCTTTTGCTGGCTTTATTATTAATTGAATTTCTATACCATCCTTCATCCAAAGATCACAGGGCGGCTTGCAATACAAAAGCACAAAAATACATACCTTAATAACAAACAATAAAGGATCTAGAAGCTGGAGGCAGGGACCGTCCACTCAGTTAGGATGCTTCCAACACCTTCAGATATTTCAGATCTGCAGTGGAATTCTTCCCATTTAGTCTAACTTTTTAATGCAGATGTTCTAGTTACAGGTAGCCATGTTGCCATAGTTGAAACAAAATAAAAAAATTCCTTCCAGTAGCACTTTAGAGACCAACTAAGTTTGTTATTGGTATGAGCTTTCGTGTGCATGCATGATACGTATCTGAAGAAGTGTGCATGTATACGAAAGCTCACACCAATAAAAAACTTAGTTGGTCTCTAAAGTGCTACTGGAAGGAATTTTTTTTAAAATGTAGATGTTGTTTAATTATATTAATTTTAAAAAAACCAGCCAGCCAACCGACCATTTTTAAAATGTTGTACTTCCTGCTATTATCTGCTTTGGGAATGGAAAGAAGTGAACTTGGGATATAGATTAGAACCAATGTTCCACGTGTCGTACCCACAATGCATTGTGTGCTTCCGTGCCACACAACAAGAATCTTAGCAGAAAAGAGTGGGATGGGGAAATGAGCACTTACAACATGGGTATATACAGTTAGTTGGACTTCCAAGAAAATATTGCAGCATGGACAGCTCCTGTTCAGGGTTTCAGCCAGCAAGCTAGCCATGCCCTATTGCAGTGTACTGAGCACGCCAAGCCCTAATTGGGCTGTTTGGTTCTCTCCCTGCCCCCACAAACTTTTGTACTTGGCTTCCCCCAAGTCTGCTGATACATCCTTTCCTGTACACAGACGGGGAATAAATTCACTATTAGCAGATAGAATTCCTACATATTTAGGGAAGGGAGATACCATTTTTGGCGACACATCTCCATGTTTCTTATGGCATGTGTTTCTTCGGACAGAGGCCAAGGGCTTTAAAATTAGCTTAAACTCAGCCCTCGCTTTACACCCGTTTTTGAGGTTTCGTAAAGCTTAACTCTTGGGTTTGTCGTGGCACGGAAAAACGACTGTGGAAGAGCTGCCATCCTGTTAGGAATCCTCATAAAAAAGAAAGATGTTTCTGAAAGGAATCTGCAGAATGTATTTTTCTCCCTTTTTAAGATAAACTGAGAAAGGAATGCGTACGCTTATGGATATTGTTAAGAAGCTACTTAACACATAAACGATGCCGTTTTCCCAAATCAGGCGATGATCTGGCCCCCCTACCCCAGATGCCTGCCAAACTATAGATGCATGAGGCAGGTGGGAAACAAATCAAGCTGTGGAGAAAAAGCTGTCCCTTATTTGCTGATCTGTGAGATAACTTGTGGTTTTTTGAACAAACCATGATTAAAACAAACTGTGGCTCTGTATTATGTGCAATTGTAGCAAACTTAGATGCAGTTGAAAGAGGAGCTGAACTTTCCTCTAGCAACTACATGAGGCTCTCTGGGAAGCCTGGCATTAGAACAATCTTCTCCTGGCAGAAAAGAAGCCCATTGCATTCATTTCATGCAGCCTATAATAAGTCTAAGTGCTGATTAGGATCAAGTAACTTTAAAAGCCATTATGATTCAGTTCCCTAAGTAATTGGGCTGAGAGGGCCCTTCAAGATGGACTTAATAAAGCAAGATTTACATTCTGAATAACTTCACAATACCCAGACTCATTCTCGCAGCCGGAAGTCTCGTTCAGGCTGAATGGAATTCATATTTTATGCCATGTGAGCCTTTGGTGACCTCCTCCCCCAATCGCCTTCTGCACATAGGAAAAAAATAAACTAGAAATCAATTCACACAACCTCAAATGCCTCATAGACAACTGGTTCCGTTTGCTTGTCAGG